ATACAATCATCCCACAGATAGGGGCCAGTAGGGGCCTACTCTACCTACTAGTAGGTGCAGGAGGCAGTTATCACCCATTCATCTGGCTGATCCAATACTATTCAAGCCCAGCAGGTACAGAAGGTGTGTTATCCAGCAGAGCAGTCACGTGACTGTCAGATTTCTGTCTGCATTTTCTTTAATTTCAGTGGAAAAACAACATTTTAAGATATTTTTGGCATTAGAGTTCGTTGTGATAACATTTCTAGCGGGAAATGTGTACATTATTTCCATAATCTCTGTTGAATGAAGGCCTGTGATGTTTCATCATCATCACCTGTTTCAGGCTTCTATGGTGTCTGTTCTATGTTTATGGTTGCTATGCAGTTGCTATGGGCGTCTTATCGCTGAAACACGTGAATATTGTTTTAATAATTGCATCGGAGCTGTAATGTTATTGGTGTTATTTTATGTAACTGCTCAATGACGACCTTAAAAATAAAAAACGTACATTTCAGACTTTGCTCGTAATTGAATTTTAAATCCGGAACCTTTGTGTTTGGCTGAGCGGAGGACCGGCTGATATGAGACCGTGGCACTGTCAAAATAAAGCCAGAAGAGAAACGTTTCATGTTTATTATAATGTTTATTATCTATTATATACTTATAACTGAACCTCTGCTAATATTTTACTTGTCCACAGACAACAGACACATTTTATAAAACCCAAACGGACAATAATCTAATATTCTGTGTAGATCAATGCACATTTTATTCATCAAATCACAGGATTTTATAAGCACAATATGAATGCGTTTCATTTTTATTCCTCTGCGTTTGTTGTAGATTTCTTCTTAAAATCATTATTGAAAAAACATTCAAATATACAAACCATTGGACGACAGAGCGGTTTTAGTCATTTCCTGTCTGTGTGTCACATTGGTTTACTTTAGCCACTGCCAGTGTCGTTAAATATAATTAAATATAATTAAGTATAATTAAATATAATTAAATATAATTAAATATAATTAAGTATAATTAAATATAATTAAATATGAAATATGTTAAATATGAATAACGTCACTGCCACTCCCCTTTAGGAGCCTGTAGCATCCTGATTCTGTTGACTCTATTGGGAGAAATGAACGTGAGCTCAGATTATGAACATGAAGACTTCTGAACATTTGGACTCTGAAATTCTGTTTTTCAGACAAATGAGTAGAAAATGAAATGTTCGTCTCTTTCCCAGCAGAAACACACTATCGCGAGATCTGACAGTGCTGAACTGTCTATGGTGCTGAATTGTTGGTTTCATCAAATATGATCTCTAACAACTGAACTAAAACTTAAATCACCTTTTGAATTCATCTCTGGTACAACACAATCTGCTTCCATCCATCTACATGACGTTCACAACACCTGAATGAAGTTTGGAGATCAGGGGCAAGGAGACCACGCCCATTTGGGAAAGGTGAAGTGTGTAACGTTTCATAGAATTGGTTTATAATTGGCGCAGATTATAATGCGCTTTTTTCTGTCATAGAAACATTTTGTGGACAATCAGACAACTCCAGAAAAACCTGTCTAATGTTGTATTCAGGTTTAATTAACATGGCACATCACGGACAGTAACAACACTGTTCATACATGAACAAATATTCATGGACATATTTATTAGTCTTCTTCACTCAAACACTGACTGCATATACTCCTGCTCCATTGATTCTGTACATACTGATGTTTTTACACATCCCTATGTATATTTTTTTCATTGCTTATGATATAACATTGTATATATGACTTGCATATTAAAAACTAAAGGAGATGTGGATGAGTGTGTGAAAGAAACATTCAAAATGTAATGAAAAAGGCAAACAAACTGAACTGAAATAAAACAAATGAACAAATCTTTATTTTTGTTCATGCACAGAGAGAGAGAGAGAGAGAGAGAGAGAGAGAGAGAGAGAGAGAGAGAGAGAGAGAGAGAGGAGAGAGAGAACAACATTCAACATACAGGTGTCTTAAAGACACACAAACAAAAACATTAAATGGAGCCTATAAAGTTGCTGGCAGGCTCCCAGGTGTCTTCCCAAGTTTTGCCACTGAAAAAAAAGAATGAATGCAAACAAGTGTAAGATCATTGCATATACCATAATATTAGTTTATATTAATGGGGTATCATAGAACAACAAATGACTTAGGATCGGTTTTTCAGCCCACACCGGAAGACAATATATTAAAAGCATACGTAAAAAACTTAAAAGCAAGGGAAAGTCAGCACACAGGAACAAGGCAGCCAGCCACACCCCACACACACACACACACACACACACACACACACACACACACACACACACACACACACACAAACACAGCAACCACTAAAGACGCAACAGCACACACACCCAGTGTCATCAGAGGAATATTGCCACATCAGCCCAAAATACAAAAGGGGATAGAAACAGACTTTGACATCCCCCAGGTGAATACAGAACTCACAGGGGTCAGCACAACCGAAGCAATGGCTGAGCTTCACCCTGGGTTTGAACCACCTTCTTGATCATGATATCTCACCTATTCACTGTTCTTTGATTGTTATTGTGGACCTGGTACACCTTGGTCAAGGTTCCGAGCTAGCTGAGCTGATACTAAAAGGTGCTGTGACATTACTGCCAACCACTGATTAGTCACATGACAGTTGACGTCCTGCATAAAGCCTAGATTTTTAAAAAGCCAAACTATCATTAATAGTTAAGTTTTTTTATTCACTCAAAAATGGCAGCCCACAACACCATGCTGTGGTCAACTGACAAAGTCCAGACTTGTCCAGAACATAGCTTCATATCCTCTGTTATGAGTAGCGTAGCTGTTTATGTGCGTAGTGTGTTGTCAGTGTGGCAGTAAATGTACAGTGTAGCTTAGAGTCTGTCAATAAAGAAAGGCTGCAGCTTCTCAAGACCAAAGTAAAGCTTGTTTCCCAACTTCATTGCTCTGACAATCACCTCTGCCTACATTGAGGGGTCCCATCCAAAGTTCTATCTACAGTGGAAAAGGAAGTCGAGGACCCAAAAGTGAATAGAGTAGAGTTGAGCTGTACAATGCTGACGCACAGAGGAAGAGAAAAAGTGTCCATCTTGTCTCATATGTGTCCACATTAGTTTTTGTTTTATCTCATGAATAATTTATCTTCTACCTGTAGATGAGGACAAGTTAGTGAGTAATCCTTTATGTTTTTTATTGTTACTGATAATAACAGGGATTAGGGAAAAAACTCTGAAAAGTCTTCTGTTTGCATCGCTCTTTGCATGTGTCTGGTTCATTGTGTCTACATGCACACAAACAATATTATCATGCTGCTATCAAGGAATTGCATTGCACATTTAATTTGATGAGTAGGCTGTACCACAAAAACAAAAAATACCTCTCTTCCTCTTTTTCTTCCCTTCACCTGTTGCACTGGTCAGGGAGATAGTAGGTGTGGGAGAGCGGGAGCACTGTGCAGACACACCTGTGACAAAGGTGGATGACTTTAGACACATTACTTAAAATATGGCAGAAGGTGATTAATGCTAACACTCACTTTCAGTCATGGTTTTTTGAGAGGGAGATGCTGAGGCGGTGCTTGGAGGCCGGACAGGGACGAGGGTTAGGGTGTAAGTCTCCTCCTCATAGTCCATTTGGGGATGAGATGAGATGGGAGAAAGGTGGAAGGGTCTGGAGGATGAGGAGGAGAAGAGGGTTGGGAGGTAGAGGAGGTAGACTGTGGAGTTGGAGATGGGCTGGGAGCTTCTGGCAATTGCATCCTTTGAGAATCTGAAAAAATATAAATATAAATATTACTCACAATGACAGCACATCCCAAAGCATAAATCATAAAAACAGATGTTTGCCTTACTTTTAATAATGTACTCATATGCCCTGCTCATCTTTTCTAAAAAGGGTTTTACAGGCCCGTCCCCTCCAGGGCACATGTAGGTGATCATTTCAGCATTTACTGTGTTCACCCTCTTCTTCTTCTTCCTGATGAACAGAATTGGGTTGTAGCCAAAGGCAGCAAGCTTGCTCACCTGAAATGTACACAATTACACAAAATGTTAACATGGCATTATTATTATTACACACTGACATGTTACAATGTTTTCACTTTATTTGAATGTTATGTGTGCACCAGTGTTTGCTAATGTCTATAATCTTTTTCAAGGGTTTCTTGAGAGTTTTCTAATGAACTGTAGGTGTGTGTACATATAACATTCTTTCAGACAGAAAATTGTGGACAGGGTTCAGTGGAGCGCTGGGATGAAGCACTTGTGCATTGAGAGAAACAAATGCTATGTTAACAGAGAGTTCACTGTCTCTGTTATTATAGTTTCTGTCTGAAATATCATAAAGCTCAGGAGACAGACATGGCCAAAACAAGTTTTCCCTCCATTTCTTTTTGGTTTAGTTCTTCGGAGATGCAAACACATGCATTGCACCCTCAGTTTAATATTTTGCACTTTCAGTTCAAATTGCATATTAATGCCAAGCATAAGGTGGTCTGGCACATGGACTGCGTGGGCGTCTTCATGCTCACCAGCAGCTCAATCAGCAAAAGAGTTGGATGAAGATTAATAAAGGTCAGCGGGTGTGGTGATTAATTGTCACATCACTGGTCTCATAGCTCTGAAACAACTGAGCTAATCAGTTAAACATGATAGCAACAGCTCAACAAATAGAAATCTTCGTCTCAGGAAATGTCTGGATGGTTCAGAGAGTCACAACATGAACACAGCTCCTCACGAATCTGCAGCCAATGACAAATGAAGTATGATTTTCCCATAAATAGTTAATATAATAATATATAAACTGATTGATTATATGATTATAACAAAGACTGTTTTATTTGGAATTCTAATGTATCCCACCTCATACATGGACACATAGTTTAGTAATTAATGATATACAAATGTGTTTGCACTGCACTGGTCACAGTATTTAGCCATGATTCCTCTGAGGACTGGAGTTTGAGGGTATGGGTGTCCTTCTGACTCGTAAAGCAAACTGTTGCTGAAAATGACTGACACCCTGTTTAACTTACTGCTGTCTACAACTTTATTCGTCTGTGTTCAGCATAATCTGTTTATCTGGGACCCAACTCTGGATCATCATACACTATTCTACTTTAATAGCTGTTGGCAGCTCGCACTGTAACTACTAGGGTACCACCACTAATTTGAGATGCACCTGAAGTCATTTGGTTCTGGAACCGGGCCTAGCTCTCTCCTCATTGGTGAAAAATGTGCTATTGATCAGAAAAAAATGCTATTTGGACCACAAGCCCATATGTCAATAATGAGCCAACTCATTTTGAATCTTTAGCTAAATTTAAGGTTAGGGGTGGCTCATATAAAGAGGCGGCATTATGTTCAACAACCTTTAATGAATACAATGGATGCACACACACAACACATCAAAGTCAATACTCACTGCCTTTTCTTTTTCTTTGAATGACTTTTTTTGCAGGAGGCAAACACAGCAGCTGGCACAGGTCTTCTGATTGGCATGATGCTTGCTCCACAATAGGGGCAGCTTCTTGCTTTGGGCTTCGTCATGACTTTGAGAGCAAGATGAATGGAAAAGCAAATAAGAGTGTGACACATGAAAAGAACTAAGTTACAATTGACTGCAAGGGCTGTCTAAATACAGCTAGCAATCTCGATAGCACACACCAATTTCCCGTTGACCAGCATAATGTGCATAACAGAGCATGCATTAGCTAACCAAAACTGATGTTACATTGAAACCTTTTTAATGTGTTATACCTGTGTGTAGCACAAAAGTAATATTGCTGCATCTGTAAATATACAAACTATATTGTTTTATAGTTTACATTTTTAGGTACACACTCAAAACATTAAGAGAATTTAAAAATATGTATATATGCAAATTAAAAAAGAAGTCAAAAAAGAAAAAAAAATATATGAAGCGGCTGTAAAACTATGTGAAATAAACATATTAACTTTTGTTTAATATCAATCATCTAGATGAAGTGTAATTACTGATTCGGCTGCACTAAATGTTCGATATATTCATTAAATATATCTTTTTACGACCCTATTCTTAACAATACTTTGCAAACCTGAAGAAGTACAAACATGGTGCTTATTATCAAGCTGCAAGGCGCGGCACAAGGGAATTGTAGTTGTTTTTTTAATGGTACATTTCCTAAAAATGGAAAGTGTAAATATTAAATTAACAGTATACTGATAGATTTAAAGGAGTGGGAAACACATTTATGTGATCAGATTGTAAATATGCAATTGTTAAATTGGTGAAAATTCATTTTGATCATACATGACAGTGCCCCCACTTGGTGACTATATTTATATGAATATAGTCACACAGCTGAAGTCAAGAGCTTTCTGAAACAGTTGGTCCCATGTCTGTAGCCTCTTCTGTTGCTGAATGACAAGCCTTCCAATATGCACTGAGGTCAAGGTTCAGAGGTCAATATTTCACAGCAGGAGCCACTTAAAATTATATTATTATAATTATAAATACAAATTTGAGATACTCTTATTTTATTTAAGTCTTTTCTTTACATGTTACATACATGTTTTGACTTTGGCTAGTTCATCTGATATACAGTATATCACATAAAATGTGGTTTGCTAAATCATTCAACCTGTGTAAAGTTGGATGTTATACTATATAATTGCATTAAAACAGTTCATGTTATTGAAAACTTGATGCTGAAAATCCCATATCACTAGTCCTTCCTCTGAATCTCTCCTCTTGCCATATACTGAATTCATGTACTCTGAAAGCATGTGGGAATTGCTCAGATAAAATAAGTCTAACCTAAAACAGTAGTAACATCCAAGGACTCAATCAGAAATGTAGCTTTATTGTGCCTTTGTTTAATTAAACATTAAAGAAGAATTATTAATCAAACAGTAAAGATCAACTGGAAAGAAAATCCCTGAAAAGATGCAGAACTGAACATCAATCAAAGATAAGACAGTAAAGGACAGTGGTTTGTGTTGTAAAGATGTAAGTCAACATTAACCAGGAACTTCCCACAACCCAGTAGAAAAATCAAACCTTATATAAGTGATGAAACATTTCAAAACAAAATGCAGAAATAACAACAACCTAATACAAAAACTACAACTGTCATCTCCAACTTAATCCTGACAATGAGCACATACGTTAGTTACTTTTTAAAGCCACATGCTCTGTGACCATGTGTCGCACACGGTGCACTGTGATCATGAGCACCACATCTTCCTGTTTTACATTGCATCCGACTCTGAATCTTCACAGCTAATGTCGAACTCATCTGAACTGTCCATTGTGTCCATTATGTCATCTGCTGATGACAGTACATGCAGGTAGTGTTTTCTTGTATGCCGCTGCAGCTCTCTCATTTCCCACTGCCTTCTGAGGATGAGGCAGGTGTGACCCTTTGTTGCTTTTTCTGTGAGATGTCCTTAAGAAGGGATAAAATATGTCACTATCCAGGTAAATAACACGTCTTTCACAACTTAAACATAACTTTGTGAAACATTCGAAATTAAAAAAATTAAGTACAAGGCTGCATTTACTTTGCATGGCGTCTTCACTCTGATGCTGAGACAACTCGGACAAGACCCTGGCATGGGCTTTGAGAGACTCCCAGTGCTGCTTCATTTCTTTCACAAGGATCTTTTTCTCCTCTTGAAGCCTTCGAACACCCATGACCCTATCGAAGACTTCTTTCTTTGTGCTGAAATCAGCAGAGCCTGTAATACATCAATATGAAAAGTTCAGACCACTGCATATAGCATGTAGCTTCAGAGATCATTTCTGTCATACATATGCACACTTGGTCAGAATGCAAATATGTCCACTGGAACACCTAAATGTAAGAATACTAATGATGAAATGTGTATTCCCTAAAGTACTGTGCTTTAGTATAAATTTGAGGTACTGGCACTTTTCTTTTTATGCTACTTTCTTTCTGATTGATATTGGGAGGTCTCTCTGACAGCTGACCACTCCCCACCACAATTGCTCCTTCCAGTGACCTACATTGTAGAAAATCATAATTGACAAATAATCCCATCAACAGTCATTACAGGGAACAATTATAAATTTCTCTTAGGGGACAAGGAACAGATAAGTGTTAGCAGATTAAGAACAATTAGGTATACAGGTAGATATCACAATACATGGGAGTACTGACAGACTATGAATTATAATGTTATATTGAGATAGAAATTGAAGTCTGCTATTACATGTTTTTTTTTGCTGTGGATGTGATCCACAAATCTGGTCACATCGTCATCTTTTGCAATGAAGACACCGTCAAAGATGGCCCGCACCTGAGATCTAAAAAAACAACAAGAAATAAAAAGGCTTCAATGTTTAAAAGGATAGTTGAGTACTCTGAAGTGGGATGGTATAAGGTACTTATCCATAGTAAGTGTGTTACCTACAGTACACAGTGTTCAGACAGCCCTTTTCCTTGGCACTACATTGTCTCAACTGAAGAACTTGCATATTTCTACATCTAACCCCAACTACAATCCTGGATATTGGGTTTTTTTCAGGTGGGCCTTTTATATGTGGCTAAAACACATTTTTCTGCTTCTCCACAATAGAGGCAGGGGATGGGTGGCGGTGACCATTGTCTGCTGTAGGTAACAGACTGACCATGGATAAGTACCTCATACAACCCCACTTCAGAACACCTTAACTATCTTTTTAACATGTCATACATCGAAAGGTTACTTGTTGTATAAAACATAACTATCTATTTTGCCATTTAAACAGTGTGGGTGTACATTATTGTATACCTTGCAGTACTTTTTAAGCCGTAACGCTTGCGGTTTCCATCCACCGAGACAGAAAGCATTGCTGGGGTACAGGCAGGACAGATGAATTTCTCCTCCTTGCAGGTGGAGTCAACCTCATATTGTACAGCAGCCCATTCAAAAAAGCTTTTTTGGAAGCTGTCTGATGAGATCTTCCCAGTCTATGTAAAAAAGAAAAAGCACAAAGCAATTTTTTAAACAAAGACCTTTCCATTTCAAAACACAAACATATAGAGAAATACTTACACGGCCAAAGCGAGCAGACCGCTTCTCAAGCATTCTTAGATATGCCTGAAAAGACATCCCGGGTGATGCCATCTTCATGTCTTTAAATGTATAAAACAGGTCTGTCTCATGAATTGTTACAAAATGAAGGGTGGCAGGTCAGTATCCACTTTTTATCAGGTCATCAAGTCCTGCAGTCCAAGTTGCCGGGCATCCCTCGCAGGTCAGCTCAGGCATGTTGAGGTCATACCGTCCTACAAGGTAATATTTACATTTACAACCAAGGTTGGAACGTTATGTAGCATGTGCCTTATACTGTATATCCAAGTGGTTCAGTAAGGCCTGCTGACTGGATGGGCACTATCATGAATAAGTCATTTGTAAATGGCATGAATAAATAAGTGACATTCCCCCCCAAAAGGTTTGCAACCATAATGAGCTCATTTTTTGAGACATTAAGTTGTTGGGAGTTGTTGAATAGAAATACATAGTGTTGTTGAAACTGGACGAAGGAAATCTTTTGCATAATTACCATTTATTGTGACCAAAGCAACAGCCTTCCCTTGGATCACCCTGAGTGCTTCTGGGGGACACCCACAGATGCTGACAGGCATCTCAATAGGCAAAAATCACACTGAAAGACATTACACATAGGTTACACTAATTCATAATTACTGACACAGACAAAAACTAGCTCAGAAAAAAGCAGTGTGTAACTTACCACAGTTTGTAAGTGCCTTTTCAACAACACAGGTGGTTGGAGGCAATGGCTGAAAGAAGCCAGCACACATGGCATCCCTGTTATGGAGGACTGAGGCCTTGCTGTGTCTGCTGATGTCACATTCAGCGCAGAGAAAGGGACGTGGAAGGAAATCTCTGCATCTAATAGCTGCGCAGTTGTTCCCACATTGGCTGCAGCCATTTGTTGCCACGCTCTCCTTGGCCAGCATGCTACTAAGAAGAGATGGTCTCTTTTCCCTCCATCTCTCAGAAAAGAGAGCATTGCGAATGCTCCAATCCAGAGAAGCCAGAGGAGCTCTTTGGTCTGCTGATGCTTCACTAAGCTCTTCATCAGAGCAGCTCAGGGAGGGTTGCAGATCTTGCAAAAGACATTCTATTGCAATTGTAAAAGAAATACATGGAGTAGTTAGAAGGGGCCCAAGGTTGTTTTTGTATCATATGCATACAACTAGCAAAAACATGGACTTCATTGTTACACAGATAAGAAGAAAATGTTGTTATATGACAGATATAACATATATAACAATGTGAATGGTGCTTGGCAATTGCATATCAACAGGGAGAAACGTTGTCATAAAGCTTGTTTTGGAGACTTTGTTTTGTTCAATAGCTCATTTTGCAGATACTAGGTACAAGACATTATACACAGAACATATCTAATGAAACACACACCAGCAGAATCTGTGTGTGAAGCAGTCTCTGGAGCAAAGGTCCCCTCTACATGAGGGTGTGAGGTGAGACCGGTCTTACAACGGCGTTCAGCTGTAATGCAGAAAAAACATAAACAGCTCTTAGAGCAGCATATATTTGTCTAACACTTACATTTGTTTTAAAGATACCTGTATGCAATCTACATTTATACGATACAGTACAGTTTTCCTATTTCATTTTTTGGGTGGGGCGTGGGTCTTCTTTTTGGGAAAGAGGCTCCAAGACCACCTACATAAAAAATGTAACTCCTGTTAGCCAAATCATGCTTACAGCAAAAAGTATTTCTTTATTTTTTAAGTTGAGTTAACTAACATGCAAATCTTTAGAGTTTTTACAGGCAAATCATAAGAACATGTAAAAACTAAGCATTGTTGTTATTTACTTTGTGGTTGAATTTTTAACCAAACGTATCTTACTACCACGTGACATCCAAGTTAAAGGGTACCGTATCCAACGTGCGCGTCGCGTCGGAGAAGATGACGTCGACACGCAACGGCAGAGAAATCAAAAATAAAAGCTGATGTTTAAGAATTTGATTAATAAAATATGCATTTATGTATATAGTAATTGAGCAACTAACTTAACTAACCTAACGTTTAACTTTCCTTTATCCTAATAACGTTTCTACAGGATGTGTATTTATGAAATAGAAACCACTAGTGTCTTTAGTATTAACGTTACTCTTGCTCCTAAAATATTCTCTTCTGGCTTTATTTTGAAAGGGCATATTTATTTTGCTAATTCAGTCCACCCGGATGTGGGTAAATGTGTTGTTGTGTTGTTGCTAACTTGACAGTGTCACGGTTATCACAACAAACTCTAATGCCAAAAATATCTAGTAGGTAGAGTAGGCCCCTACTGGCCCCTATCTGTGGGATGATTGTATCAGGATAATGCTTATTCAATGGTATGATAACAGTCAGATCGGCTGTTTTTCAGCTTTGATATCAATCAAAAACAAAATAAATGAATCAAATACAATCAAAACTTTATTTAGCTTTTGTTCAGTAATTTGTGCCAGTATGCAACAGTTCTTATATATACAAAGATCAGACAATAAAAAGGTTTGAATTTGGCACCCAGACATTTAAAGAACATGAAAATGTTAATTTATAAACACAATGTTTTTCTAATGATTTAACAGTCTTAAAGGAAGGTAATGCAGTTATTAGAATGAATTAGACTGCATTAGATAATATCAATCAGTGTGGTCAAACTGGTGTGTTGTAGTAATAAGTAGTAATGTGACACATCAAAGAAAAAAACTAAAAATAACCCATATTGATCAGAATCTGGAAAAAGTCAATCTAAACAATGAAGATACATTTATTACATTAAATGATGTGAATCTTTCTGTAGAGAATCAAATGGTTGTTCTACTCAGTGTGATTGACAGGAGAGATGATCAGAGGGGCAGAGTTTTTACCTTTATTATTAATACAGGGACCAAAGTATGGGTAGAGTTTCTCAGTGAAGGAGCAGCCAGTAAAGGAGTAGATAAGAGCTGCAGCATCAACGTCATAAAAGGAGACCAGACCCTCCTCATAATCGACAAACACCCCCACCTTCTCAGGCTGAGACTGCAGAGAGAGACAGACTGAAGGGTCAGCAAGAGCTTTGTACTCATTTTCATTCCTCAAACGTATCGTCCAGTAACCATCCTGAGGACTCAGTGTGATTTTTCCCTTCCTGTTGATCGACTCTCTGACCACTCCTAAAGTCCAGTCAGTCTTCCCTTTAACCTGAACCTCGTAATAAAATCTTCCTGAAGAGAAACTCTGCTTTGCTAAGACATTAACACAAGTATCAAATCTCTCTGGATTGTCTGGGAGATTCTTCTTTACATCACCATGTTTAACTTGTTTCCCATCATCAGACAGGATGAGATAGGGATGTGCTGTATCAGGATCCAGTGTCACATCCACTGCATACTGCTGGACCCTCTTCAGCTCAATCAGCTTCTTCATCTGTTTACTGAGCGTCTCCTCCAGCTGATTCACAGCTCTCACCACAGTCCCCTCATATGAAGGTGGACGGACACTGAGCTCTGTCCAGTCCTTGGTGGGTGGAGCAGCGTTCAGGGACAGGAAGCTTTGGAGGAGGTGGAGGTGGTCTTCAGACTGTGAGAGCTGGTCCACCTCAGAGCTTCTCTTCTTCAGCTCAGAGATTTCCTGTTCCAGCTCTTTGATGAAGTCTTCAGCCTGTTTCTCTGTCTTTCTCTGCTTCTCTTTGATCGTGTCGATGAGCTCGGCCTGGCTTCTCTCAACAGACTCCTTCAGAGCGGTGAAGACCTGAACACCATCTGCTATCTCTCTGTCTGCACCTTCCTTACTGAGCTCCACTGAGCGTTTGATCTCCTGAATCTTCAGTCGTCTCTTCTGGATCATCTGCTGAATTTCAGCCTCTGTCTTCCCCAGCTCGGCCTTCTTTCCTTCATATTCTTCTTTCAGAGGAACAACATCATGTGTCTTGTGGTCTAAAACAGTGCAGAGCATGCAGACACACATCTGGTCGGTCTTACAGAACAGCTCCAGCAGTTTATCGTGCTTCGTACACATCCTGCCTTCCAGGTTATCCACAGCATCGATCAGCTGATGGTTTTTCAGACGTGAAGCTGTCAGATGAGGCTCCAGGTGAGTCTCACAGTAGGAGACCAGACACACCAGGCAGGACTTCAGGGCCTTCAGTTTGGTTCCAGTGCAGACGTCACAGGGAACTTCTCCTGGTTTGGAAACTTGTTGCTCTGAGCTGCTGCTGCTGGCTTTCTGTTGAGCTGACTGTCTGAACTGAGCAGCCATCTCAGAGAACAAAGTGTTGATGTGCAGCTCAGGTCTTGTGTTGAAAACCTTTTTACAGTTGGGACACTGACACTGGACATTAATATTCCAGTGTTCAGTGATGCAGGTTTTACAGAAGTTGTGTCCACATGATGTGGTGACTGGATCAGTGAACACATCCAGACAGATGGAGCACAGAAACTGATCTTCAGTCAGCAGAGAGCTGGCAGCAGACATATCTACACTGTGAGGGTGAAAGTAAAATTGTTACCATCTAAAAGGATAATTGCAAAATTCTCGGTTTGTCATAAAAATATCAAGCTAGGTTAACTGCGATATCAGAAAGTAAAGTATTTCCTTTGTTCACACTTTTAAATGTCCATTTGAAAACACCAAATGAAAACAATGGAAAATCCTCTCTGAGTAAAGCTTAAGTTTTATATTAATGTTGTTTCTGAAACAGTAAATATCATCAGCTGTACTCACCAGTGTTTGACAGAGACTGTGCTGTGTTGTTGAGAAAGGCCTGATCAAGTCAACTTGTTCTTTGGAGAGAAACTGTGAGATTTGTCTCGACTGCAGGTTCGCCTTCACTCAGGTTATTGTTTCGTTTCATTTGAAGAAAGTGGAATTAAAACTGTTGTGGTTTTCCAGTGTTGCTCCGCCTCTTTCTGCTCTACAGGTGAGGCTTTGTTGCCTTTCAGGTCTGACCGGATTAGTGACGTACTTTTGGTGTGATGGGAGAAATCAAACGTGAATTTAGTCTGGAGTAAAGCACCAAAGACTTGTCAGGGAACCTTGTGGTTACTGGAGACTTTGACTTAGTTTAATTTTTGTTTTTCTCAGATTAACGTCTATAACGTGCTCCAACAGTGAGGAACCCTCTGGTTCTTGTTAACATCATAATTTAAATCTGTAAACTCACAGTACAATTACATTTTAAACCCTAAAAACACAATCTGATCCCTCCATTACACAGCACACATTAAATACTATCACAATATAATAATATAATAATATAATACTATAGGGCCCTGAGGGGAACTTCCTGTCTGAGTAGAGCTCAGGTTTTGTGTTAATACCGGTTGTTGAAACACAGTAAATATTATCAGCTGTACTGCCTCCCAGAGACAGACAGCAGGAAGCTAGAAGCTGTATATGGGATCAAACTAGGGCCATAAAGAATTTGTACCTGTAGAAATAATTTGTGCCTGTGCAAGCATTTCTTCAACAGACACTCAAATTTCCTACCTTCCATGTGCGACATTGAAGTTACAAGACACAAAATCTTTTGGCCCTGAGTGAACAACCAATCAGCACGTAGCTTATTGACCTGCCCATCAACCCATGCGCCCACCTACCATCCAATTAAGGCAACGGACGTCTTACGGAAGCCCTAAATATGGAGGACTGAAAGTGCCACAATTAAATAAATAAATACACCATTAAATAATTACTTAAATGTGTCATTAATTAATTAAAATTGGAATTAAATACATAAATGTAATATTAAATGTGTCATTAATTAATTCAAATACCGATTCATTTATTGTAAAATACATATATAATTATTTCACTATTTACATTTACATTTCATGGTCCTGCATTGCAGTGCTTCATGAATTACTTAAAACTGTCAAACTCACCCATCAAAAGTTGGTAGGCGGAACCTAACGCCTGATTGGTTACCCTGCACATCAAGCCAGGACAAATCAATTCCAGATAATGGATCGATGCAGAGCTAGTGAACACATTCCAATACACTGGGTGGTGCTATTGGACTACTTCTTCTAAATCTGCAGTCACTCTGTGGTCAATATCTTGGTCAGAAAGTGCGGAAATATCTCCAAGAACTTCAATAAGTTCCTCTGCTTTACTCGCTACATGCTCTGGGTCAGCAGCTCCTGCTTCCACATCCTCTGCTAAGTCTAAAAAATCAAATGTTTAACTTTGAAAAATAAAGTGTAGCAGCAGCTTGAGTTTCTTTGTTAACTGTTTCATATCTTGATTCACAGTCTCAACAAATTTTATAAATGAATATCAACACATCTTTACAATTGAACAGTTTCTCTTTCTTTCCCTTTTATATCTTTCTACACACTTTCTGTTGTTCAGTGAGAGAATTGAGCTCTACCCTCTCTCCCTCGTTGGGCAGTGAATGAATGGGTCAAGATCAGTGTTGGTCATCTTTCTTTAAAAAAGTAATTAGTTACATTTACAAATTACTTATCCCAAAAAAAAAGTAATTCTGTTTTTCAGACAAATGAGTAGAAAATGAAATGTTGGAGACGTCTCTTTCCCAGCAGAAACACACTATCGCGAGATTTGACAGTGCTGAACTGTCTATGGTGCTGAGTTGTTGGTTTCATCAAATATGATCTCTAACAACTGAACTAAAACTTAAATCACCTTTTGAATTCATCTCTGGTTCAACACAATCTGCTTCCATCCATCTACATGACGTTCACAACACCTGAATGAAGTTTGGAGATCAGGGGCAAGGAGACCACGCCCATTTGGGAAAGGTGAAGTGTGTAACGTTTCATATAATTGGTTTATAATTGGCGCAGATTATAATGCGCTTTTTTCTGTCATAGAAACATTTTGTGGACAATCAGACAACTCCAGAAAAACCTGTCTAATGTTGTATTCAGGTTTAATTAACATGGCACATCACGGACAGTAACAACACTGTTCATACATGAACAAATATTCATGGACATATTTATTAGTCTTCTTCACTCAAACACTGACTGCATATACTCCTGCTCCATTGATTCTGTACATACTGATGTTTTTACACATCCCTATGTATATTTTTTTCATTGCTTATGATATAACATTGTATATATGACTTGCATATTAAAAACTAAAGGAGATGTGGATGAGTGTGTGAAAGAAACATTCAAAATGTAATGAAAAAGGCAAACAAACTGAACTGAAATAAAACAAATGAACAAATCTTTATTTTTGTTCATGCAGAGAGAGAGAGAGAGAGAGAGAGAGAGAGAGAGAGAGAGAGAGAGAGAGAGAGAGAGAGAGAGAAAACAACATTCAACATACAGGTGTCTTAAAGACACACACAAAAAACATTAAATGGAGCCTATAAAGTTGCTGGCAGGCTCCCAGGTGTCTTCCCAAGTTTTGCCACTGAAAAAAAAGAATGAATGCAAACAAGTGTAAGATCATTGCATATACCACAATATTAGTTTATATCAATGGGGTATCATAGAACAACAAATGACTTAGGATCGGTTTTTCAGAAGCCTGCTACTAACCAGTGTGGAAGTAAGTACATATATATTTATAAAGCATACTGTAAAAAACTTTAAAATCAGCTAATGTGGGTCAAAGTTCTGAGCTCTTACCATGAGGAACAAGGCAGCCAGCTCACTTTTACCTCTTCTCTTCCTGCACACACACACACACACACACACACACACACACACACACACACACACACACACACACACACACACACAAAAAAGACACTAACACGTTAAATGAACTGCTATTTCACTCAGTCAGTTACATCTTACCTCCTTAGTTGTTTCTTTTATTTCATTAAATATTTTTTGCTTCTAACATTTTCAGCAGCCTAAAATTATCAAAAAAGAAAGAAAAAGAAGGAGAATAAATGTAGAAACAGACTTTGACATCCCCCAGGTGAATACAGAACTCACAGGGGTCAGCACAACCGAAGCAATGGCTGAGCTTCACCCTGGGTTTGAACCACCTTCTTGATCATGATATCTCACCTATTCACTGTTCTTTGATTGTTATTGTGGACCTGGTACACCTTGGTCAAGGTTCCGAGCTAGCTGAGCTGATACTAAAAGGTGGTGTGACATTACTGCCAACCACTGATTAGTCACATGACAGTTGACGTCCTGCATAAAGCCTAGATTTTTAAAAAGCCAAACTATCATTAATAGTTAAGTTTTTTTTATTCACTCAAAAATGGCAGCCCACAACACCATGCTGTGGTCAACTGACAAAGTCCAGACTTGTCCAGAACATAGCTTCATATCCTCTGTTATGAGTAGCGTAGCTGTTTATGTGCGCAGTGTGTTGTCAGTGTGGCAGTAAATGTACAGTGTAGCTTAGAGTCTGTCAATAAAGAAAGGCTGCAGCTTCTCAAGACCAAAGTAAAGCTTGTTTCCCAACTTCATTGCTCTGACAATCACCTCTGCCTACATTGAGGGGTCCCATCCAAAGTTCTATCTACAGTGGAAAAGGAAGTCGAGGACCCAAAAGTGAATAGAGTAGAGTTGAGCTGTACAATGCTGACGCACAGAGGAAGAGAAAGAGTGTCCATCTTGTCTCATATGTGTCCACATTAGTTTTTGTTTTATCTCATGAATAATTTATCTTCTACCTGTAGATGAGGACAAGTTAGTGAGTAATCCTTTATGTTTTTTATTGTTACTGATAATAACAGGGATTAGGGAAAAAAACTGTTCTCCAAAAAGTCTTCTGTTTGCATCGCTCTTTGCATGTGTCTGGTTCATTGTGTCTACATGCACACAAACAATATTATCATGCTGCTATCAAGGAATTGCATTGCACATTTAATTTGATGAGTAGGCTGTAGCACAAAAACAAAAAATACCTCTCTTCCTCTTTTTCTTCCCTTCACCTGTTGCACTGGTCAGGGAGATAGTAGGTGTGGGAGGGCGGGAGCACTGTGCAGACACACCTGTGACAAAGGTGGATGACTTTAGACACATTACTTAAAATATGGCAGAAGGTGATTAATGCTAACACTCACTTTCAGTCATGGTTTTTTGAGA